ACTCTTGTCTTATGAGATAACTAAGTACAAAATATCTGAAATACAGATTATTCAAGCAGATCACAGCGGTTTAAGCGTCTGAAATTCACGCTACTATATTCACATATTCATAATCAAATCAAATTTTATAATTAAATAAATATATATTAAAAAAAAAACTCTATTTCAATATTCTAGTTCAAAACGTTCCTAGCAAAATATGATAGAAGTCTACTCCATTCATCCGCAATACTTTGAAAATGCTATTACCAACTTGACTAAATCTGAATTTCGGAGATCTGACCTCGTAAATGCCAGAGGATACCTCTCGAACCGTAAATACCACCCATTTTTAATTATAAATTACTAAGTATATTGCTAAAGAATAGCTTCTAGCACAATGAAATAAAAATAAAAATGATAACAAGGTGTGGAAAAATACAACTTGAGAGCAGAAACAGCAAAAATCCAACTTAATCCAAAAGTTTAAATGGGGCAATTCAGTTGAGGAATTAGATATAATGAGACAATTATCCCACATTACCTTATTATATACTTAGGCAGTACAATCAGGAAATTTTACTTATTTAATTCTTCATTTTTTCTTTTTTTTTTTTTTTTTAATAGAATATATCAGTTTGTAATTATAATTTAATGCTTTAAAATTATAGATTTAGCTAGTTTGCACATCACAGTAAATGAGCACAATAAAAATGAAATGTGATATGATTATTCTTTAAGAATTTTTACAGAGGTAGATTCTAAGCTTATTTTCAAAATTGTTATTTATAATTTCGGAATTTTCTTTAACAAAAAAAAAATAAACAATAAAAATAAAATACATTCATATGCTATTTTAGCTTTTTGTCTATTTAAAAATTTTTATTATATTTATTCATCTCACCTTGCCGACAGAACTAATTATACGAAACACTTAGTAATTTTTATTGTTTTTTTATTTCTACTCGGACGTTTTGGGGATACTTTTCCCCTTTTTTCAGCAATATAAAAAATGCATTATCAGTTCTCACCAATTTTTCACATTTTTATAAGTTCTATGTTGAACTAGTCATTCACATTTTTTTTTTTTTAATTTACATTTTTAATTAAACTAAATTAAATTTCAATAATTTTCTATTTAAATTTTTTTTTTTTAAACAAATAATATTGGTTTAGTCTCTGAGTAAGTTAAGTCAATGACTAAAATTTCTTTATACTAAAAAGATATGAATAAACTTAGGTTTGAGGAGGTTAAGTATTTCAGAATACTTTCAAATACTTGATTTCTTCTTTTATCTTAAAAAAATACTTTAAATTATAATTGTTTGTTTTATTAAATTATTCCTATTGACAAAGTCTGAAGAAGAAAAATATATTTATTTATACAATTGGTAGTAATGTTACATTAATATTACTAGTTAAAGATTTAATCATAAATTTCACTAATAAAAGTCAGAGAATTATGTCGAGTTGATACAATTCGAATCGTATGATTATTAAATTGTTAAAAAATTGCGCGTTTCAATTGTAATTTTTTACTGAATTTTTAAGAAATCAAATTCAAAATGTTTTATCAAAATTTTATATATTTTAGACCACTTTTTTCCGCTTCTTGGTATTTAAAGAAGAAATGTTTAAGGCGTCAAATATATATACAATACCTTATCAGTGTTCGTTATTGTTTTCAAATTTAGTAAGAGAAATTTTAATATTTATTATTATTATTTTATTTTGTGACTGAGGCTGGGTGCATTTAAGAATTATATTTTTTATTCTTAAACTTGCATTGTTTAATGCAATTAACTATAAATAAATTTCTACTTTATCACAGGAAATATATTTTAAAATAAATAGTTTTTTTATAACTTTTCAACAATTTTCTTATTTTTGGGAGTTTTAAAAGTAAAATATTCTCCTTTCAGAAACCACACCGTGATAAGAAATGCCTGGCCAGGGCATTTCATATTTGATCACTTATGTAGCCCAAAATAAATTAAAAATTTAATAACTTTTTTTGTTAAATTAGTTCAAAGGTTGTTAATAAACTCTTTCATAAATGCAAGCAATTTTTTTTTTTTACATCTTAATTATAGTTGACGTTTTGGGAATTTTCTCCATCATCAGAACTATTCTTGCAATTCATTTATATCAATTTATAAAATAAAACCGTTAATATAAAATAACTGTTGTTATAAGTTTGTTATTTAAAAATAAATGATTTTTTGGCTATAATATTTTCCCATGTGTGCTCTTTTGTCTTCTTTTATAAATTTTGTCAATTGTGTGATTAACAATTGGATATCTATATTAACAACTAAAGATTTGTTTTAGTACTTTGTACTTGATTATTTTTTTTTATTTTTTTTTTAGTGGTTGGTACAGATATCCAATTGTTATCAAGTGATCTAGTAGCTCTGGATAACACGTTTGATAAAATGAATATTATAAGATAAAAGATCACACATGAGTAAATATTATAGCAAAAAAAAAAAATCATTAACAACTTTTAAATAAAAAAATTGTTACAACTATTATTGTATATTAATGGTTTTATTTTAGAAGTTGATATAAATTAGTTGCGAGGATAGTTCTGATGATGGGAAAAAGATCCCTAGACGTCAAATATAATTAAAAAGTAAGAAATACAAAATTTGTTTGCATTTATGAAAGTTTTTACTGCCAACTTCTGTAGAAATTTAATGTGTTATGATTTTAGATTTTCTGTTATTGACCAAATATCTAATTCAAATCCATTTAATACTTTCTTACCGCCCGTCATATTCCTAAGCCGCTATATTTTATTATTTAAATTTAAAATAAAAAGTGTTGATAAGTAACACTGTGGAATAGAAGCTGATGAACTACATTTAGGCAAACAATTTGAAAGAGAACGTTGTGGGTTGAGAATAAAAGCCTGTAGGTTCGTGAAGGGAAACTCGTCCTCAGCATAACTTCAGACAGTTTCATATCAAATAAATATCATCTCGTAATTTTGATTTTTTTCACATTATTTCAATTGCATTCACTAATTTATAAAAATTGATTGTTATTATTTGTTGAAAAAGAGTATTCATAAATTTGTGGGTATTTATGTGAAGGAAAATTCTTCTAATTTTAAATAATTTAGTTATTATCATGCTCCCTTGTCAATATTTCAGGTTCTTTGCCCATTGTCTTGGACAATTTTCTATGTAATTAATAGGGTTTATTAAAAAAAAAATGACCGTTTTCAACCAAATATTCGTGTTATTATTTCTTTGATATAAAATACAATTAATACTTAAAGTATAGTCCATTGTTATCTACCGTCATTAGCCATCTGCTAGCTGATTGCTCGATCCCATGCTGATACCATTCTTTGGAATGGCTGTCAAAGAACTCTTGGACCATAATTTCAACTTCTGCAAAATTATCACATTTTTTCCCTTGAAGAAAATGGGCCATGGATCTAAATAAGTAGTAATCCGTTGGTGCGTGGTTTTGATTATATGGTGGATGAGGCAGGAATCTCATATCAGAAGGGTTTTTCAATAAATTTTCACAAATTTTTCAAACCAATGCCGTATGGTGTGCTCGTCAAGGACACCTTCCTCTTCATATTTTATAATTTCACAAGTTGCTTCAGTGGCTGTGATTTTTTTTTTTTTTTTTTTTCAGTAATGCTTTAAAATTACGAAAATTTTGTAGGACACTGTCAAGTTTCTTCTTTTAAACAAATAACTAAACTGAGACTTTTTTTGAAGAAGTCGAATGGGATTGAACAAGCTTAGGGAATGCTCTAAAGGAATTATTGAGTATTAAATAGGATAAAAATATTGACTGTCCTTAGAAATCTTGAATTCGATTAAACGGTCATTTTTTTTTTTTATACATCCTATTATATTTTTATTTTTGAAATTGATGAAAAAATAACATTCAGACTGCATGTAATAATGGAAGCTTATCAACGTTCTCCATGGACTGATGTGTTTTAATAAATTTGGTTAAATAATAAATATTTGGCGGACAAGAGGTAGCAGAGAAAAAAATTTTTAATAAGAAAAATTTAAATATAAATATAAATATAAAAAATTTAAATATTAAAAATTGAAATTGGCCGTGATAATAGACTGAGAGTCAGAAAGGTGAAGCAAGGTGTATAGCTAGTAAATAAATTATTAAAAATTAGATGAGGTTTCATTCATAGACTTATGAAAATTATTGGGGGGGGGGCCTAACTATAGGATCACGGTGTTGGGGGTCTGGAAGGGTGGGGATATTGTTTGGAATATATCCTACATGCCTATATGAAATATATAATATATTCCTGTATGAAAAATTACCATTTCACACTGTGATTGAGTTCTTTCAAGCCCTTACTAATAACAAAAAATGTCACACAAAATATTTTAAATTAAAATATTACAATATTTTAATAGATGATTCCTTTTACAGTTTAGGAGAGTTTATGAATCCACAATAAAACACCGTTAAACACAAATTCTACTATATCTGTTAGATACATTAGATGAAATTGTAATGTACACGATCGATAAGTTCAATCTATAGTAATTTGTTGAGGGAGCTGAGCCCCAACCTCTGCGGCAATGGGAAGGGGTTTAAGCCCCACGAGCCCCTAGTCTCCCACAAATTAAGAACTGTCATAAGACTGAGGTGGGAAATTATATTAAGATGTCAATCATAGCACAAGCGATTTCAAAGACAGCACTTCCTTTGACTTTGTATGTTTAGCAAATAAAAGATAAACAAACTATTATAATTTTTTAAAAAACATTTTACTAATCTAATATAAATAACACCGATAATTCTTATTGAAAGCTCTGATTTTACTACTTTTATATATTTTTTAAAATAAATTTTTCAATTAAAATTATTTATGATCTTTTTTAAAAATTCTTAATGCGAATACTTAATGTAATAATCTTTGATCTTATCATTACAGATCATATTGATGATTATTTCTGTATGCATAAAATAAATATTTTTGATCTTGTTTAACATATACGTTATTTCCTTTTTAGGAGGTAATAACGGTGTCACCGAGTACGTAAGACAAGAGCTGCGTGCGATGGTCGGCGCCAGAACCAGTGGAAGTGGGCGTCCTCAGGTTCCCGGCTCTCTTCCCCTACCTACGCCTGCGGTTGACCTCGATTCTCTACCATACGATATGCAATCTCAGGGTGAGTTATTAAAAATTCTTATATTACAGATTGAAGCAGTTAACCTATGTGATTAAGATAATTATACAGGGTGTCCCATAAGTAGAGCAAAATATTTAAAAGGTTGATAATAAGCATCAAGATATACAATAAAATTCATGTTAACAATTGCCCAATTTCCAGCAGAAAAGATTTGTGTTTTTTTAAGGGAGTCAAGGATTTTTGTTAAAGGGGAAGCGATAACTTAAAAATATTTGATTTAAGTAATTAAACATTGCTTCAAAGTAAACTAGACAAGATTTACTTTAAAAGAAAATAGATTTTGTCATTGTTAAAACTATTTAAAGAGGAATATCGGGCGGACAAATACAGCTAAGTTCCGTTTAAAAAACATCAATAATTATTTGTCTTTTCTGTTCATTATTCCTAAAATTGGTGTCTTGAGGTTTTATTTATTATATAAATTAGGCCCATTATTAACCAACATTTTATTTATTAGCTATTTTATTTCAGTCCCTCCAGAAATGATGTATGGGAAACTCTTAAGTAGCAGAAAAATTTAATTTTTCTCTGAACAAATTAATACAACATTAATAATGAATATTTAATGGAGGACTTAATAAGACTTGAAAATGGCCCTAGTGATGGTCGAAACGTCGTAATAAAATAGCTAATAAATAAAATGTTGATGAATAATGGCTTAATTTACATAACAAATAATAATTATTTGTCATTTTTTTTTACTTTCCTACCTATACTAGGTAAGGAAAGTATTTCAATCGGGTCAAATTTCCGATATGCAGTTTTCGACAGATCTATATGTTTCAGAGCCCCCTCCTCCCCGAGTCCGAAAAACACATTTTTAGCCATTGGTCTGTCTGTCTGGGGCAAGATTTTGAAGACTAACAATTTTGATGAAACTTTCCTATAATGTTCCAATCATTGTCCTGTCGATTTTCGTATATAGACAAAATTCCCGAAAAAATTCAGGAAAAAAGTTATAAAGAGAAGAAAAATGTTATGCTGCCTAACTCCCCAAGTATATATTATACGGTAAAATTTATAATAAAATTTCCATTTTTTGTCTGGAAAAAACGCCGTTTAGCTTGTCTTTTGAAAGGTAATGAAATTCCCTACAAAGGCATATAAAAATCGTTCATTTTGGACAACTATTAACGAAGTTTACAGCTATTCAATGTAAGATTACGGGTTCTTATCCTGGTGTCAGAAAGGGATGAATAAGAGAATAAAGATGACTAAGTGAAAGTAAGAAAATCTGTTGCCCGCATCACACAATCTTCATTATTTTCTCTACTTTTAACAGAAATTATTGTTTGACAAAATTAGGCTATGGAAAAAAGTTTTTGATCAGCAATATTAGAGGGTATTGAAATTTTTACACTGATCTACCTTAAGCCGTTTTAATCGTACTCAAATATTTTCTTTGATCAATTTTCAGGAAAATAAATCTAGTTCAATTCTTTTTTTGTTTCTTAATGAACATATGTAAACATATAAAAACTTTTCTGAAATAGGTAGGAAAGTCGTGTGAGTGGACACATCAGATATTTTTTTTATCACTCTTCAACAGTACTACATTTACCCCATTTTTAGAAAAACTTCTCCGTTTAATAAGCTTCAAGTCCATATTAATTAAGTTGAGGTTTATTTGTAAAAATTTTGAGATTCACCTCAAGTTGTGACATGATGTGATTTTCTTTTAAAGTAAAGTATGTCTAGTATACTACGGAGCAATGTTTAATTGCTTAAATCAAATATTTTTAAGTTATCGCTTGCTATTTAAAAAAAAAAAACTTAATTTAAAAAAAATAAAATTTGATTTTCTACTTTTCTGCTGAAAATAATATTTTCTCAGCCCTGATGAAGGTCTGAACTTCGGGTTGAAACGTCGGCAAATGTAAAAATAAATATTATTATTTATTTTTGCCATTTTTATTTTGACTGATCACCCCAACCATCTTTCTCTTCACAACTTACAATATTGTTTTTAAAATAACAATCAATTTTTTTTTTTTTTTTAACGTTTCATGTTTATTTTTCAGGAGTAAATGACAGTCCAAAGATGTGGGGTGGAATGAATGAAATGGGCACAGGTTCACCGCAGCCGGCTCAACAACATTCCTCCAGGGTTAGTATCGGTTTATAATTATTTGTCTATTTTAAAATTATTTTTAAAACATTGAAGGAACTTTTTATCGACCGTAATACATATCACAGGAGATGAATAGTCAGGAAGCAGTAATTTTTTGAGATTTTTTATCGTTGCCGATGTTTCAAACCAAACATAAGGGCGGAAACAATTTTTACTTTCACTTACCTATATATGTAATATATAGTAAGGGAAAGTATTGCGATCGTGAAAATTTTCCAATCTGAGTTTTTATATAACCAAGTCCCGCAAAATGGTCTATGTGTGTAACACATAACATACATTAGCAGTCTAGCTCAAAAACGAAATGTCATACGAAATTGATATTACTTATTTAAGATAGGTGTATGCATTAGATTTGTCAGCAACTTTTTCCTTAAAATAGGCCAACTGAAAATATCACTTTATATCAACAGTGAAACACATTTCTACAATTTTCTCAAAAACGGCTCTTAACGATTTTGATTAAACTTGGTGTATCATTGTATAATTGAGCAGTCTTTAATATCATTAGGTCTTATCCCCATTGACGTTACTTTACAGGGCTTAATTGTCCAATGTTCATATGCGTCTTCTTCTAAAGTACCTTTAATATGGTTTATTTTAAATAATTAATTATTTCTCATTATTGAGAGTTACAAAAAAATGCTACATATAACTTTTGAAAGAATTTGATAATAAAGGAAAGAAAAATAAAAGAATAAAGAATAAAAAAAACAAAAATGCTTAACCAGGTTGAAAATGAATCTCCGTAAATAGTAGTCAGAAGGTATACGTATAATATATTGTTGGAAATCAGAAAATTTTAGAAAAAACAATATCTAATATAGAAAGTTGTAGAAGGTAACGGAGAGTGGCAAAAAAAATTATAAATAATAATTTTTACTAACTAAATGTAAACTTTTAAAGTTTCAAGTTTCAAACTTTTTAAGTTTGAAAAAAGTATTTAAAATCCACCTAATTAAGGCAATGACATTGTTTAAAAAACTATTTGATCGTACAATCCATAATCAACGGATCGTACAATCCATAATCAACCGGTGATATAATAAATAGGACTTATGTTATTTTAATAGTATTTATGTATTGATTCATGTATCATCCATCACTATTTACCACTACAATTTATTTTTATTTATTATATCTGTAATGTTATTTAAATAATTGTTCCAGCTCTGATGATGACCACCCGCATGTTTGGGTTGAAACATCGGCAACAATATATAATCTCAAAAATGATTGCTTCCTGATTATTTATCTCCTGTATTTATAATAAAGGTTTTAAATTTATGTGGATAAATATGGTCCGGTGTCGAAGTAATAAAATTCATTAATATAGTGGAAACTATTTATTTAGTCGACCCAACTATACAGGTCCTCATCATGGCTAGAAAGAACAAGATAAAAAACTGAGTTAGTAGATAACATTAATAGGTTAAAAAAATAAATTAATTAATTTTCAAGTTTATTTATTATCAGCCAATTTTACACCAATTTTAAATTTTGTCAACTTAATGATTACACATCTCAATTACGACGTTTCAGCTCGTCGAGCCTTTTTCAAGTCTAAAAAAATAAGAGAAGGTAATTTTAACTTATTTGAATCATTTAATAAGAAAGAATTGAGTAATAATGATGTTATCAAATAATTAAAGGTGGACATGACAATAATAACAAATTTTATTATGAGTAGACGCATGCAATTCGCATAAGTGAAAAGGACAAGTACATGATGGGTATTTAGGTATATAAATTTTTAAAAAATTATATTTTGAAATATGTAAAGTTTAAATATGACTGTAAATTAAAAAAAAAAATTTTAGACTTGAAAATGGCTTGACGAGCCGAAACATCGTAATTGAGATGTGTAGTCATTAAGTTAACAAAATTAAAAATTGTTGTAAAATTGGCTGATAATAAATAAACTTGAAAATAAACAGTGTGCACCGAAGAAGAAGTAAGAAATATTGTAAATTAATTAAGTATATAAAAATTAGTGAGGACATTCAAATATAAAACAAAGTAACTATAATACTGTAAATTAAAATTGGTAACGATATATGCAGATAAGGAATTACTGAATACCATTGATGATTGGTTCACTGATTCATTGAATAATTCATAGTAAATATGGTGATATAAAATTTAAATTTTAGGTCTGATTATGGGGCATAATAAGCAAGTATATACAGGGTGTCGCAGAAGTAGAGAGAAATATTTAAAATATTGATAGTAGACATCAAGATGTACAAAAAAGTTCATATAAACAATTTCCTAACTTCCAGCAGAAAAGTAGAGAAAATTTAATATTTGTGTTTGTTTTTTTAAGCGAGTCACGTTTTTTGTTGAATAGGAAGCGATAAATTAAAAAATATTTAATTTAAGTAATTAAACATTGCTACCAGACAAAATTTACATTAAACGAAAGTGGAGTTTGTCATTGTTAAAACTTTTTAAAGAGGAATATTGAGTGGGCAGGCACAGCTAAGTTGCGTTTAAAAAAACGTCAATAATATTTGTCATTTCTTTTATCACCCTTCAACTGTACTACATTTATCCCATTTTTAGAAAAACATCCTCGTTTAATAAGCTTCAAGTCCATATTAATTAAGTTGTATGTTCATTTTGAAAAATTTTGAGATTCAGCTCAAGTTGTGTCAAGAAATGTTATTTTCTATCCAGTCACCTAAAAGTACCCGTGTTTCCTACAAAAATGACTACAATTAACTGTCGCAAAGCTTTTATTTCTTTTATTTTTTACATAAATTAGGCCAATTATCACCAACATTTTATTGATAAGCTATTAATTACGACGTTTCGACCACACTAAGGGCCATTTTCAAGTCTAGAAAATTGTAATATCATTATTAGTTAACATTTAACAATTACAAAAAGAATTTCTTATTACACATAATTAACTTGTCTAACGATCTATGTCATATTATTTTCGATACACATAATTTTATCCAAGTCTATACAATAAAAGTATACACTTTTTCTTATACAAAACCTTACATGTACATGTAACTTTAAACTTTAAACGTTACATTAAAAACAATTGATTATTACCTTGATGAGTCCTCCGTTATATATTTATTATTAATGACGCAAATAATATGTTTAGTGAACATTAAATTGTCATGGTCTTTAGGGGTTTAACCTACGTCATTTCTGGAGGGACTGACTTATATCGTCCTGGTGGGGATAGTCAAAGGGAGAGGGGTTTTCCTTTTATTTCTTGTTTTTCTATGATATTTATAGTAATAAACATAATTTTCTAAAAACACATTTCTTATAAATATAAAAAAATTAAAAATAATGATTTTAAAAATATTTTTCATGTGGTTATGAAATTGTATTTTTCTCCCAGATCTTCATTATAGGAATTGATGTGTATTTATTAGTGACGAAATTAATGTTTCTAGCCCTAATATTTACGTTTTCATGAAAATAATTGAAGCAATCAGGTTTCTTTATTTTAAGTGTAAATTTTAACAAGAAATTTTTTGTTTTATATGAACTTTTGGTACTTTTTGTCTAGCAGGCCGGCACTGACTGCTATCTGCCAATGTTTATAACCTGAACTCTGATAATTCCCATAACGCAGTGATAAGCCTTCTCCTACTTCCTATCTTCGTATTATTGTATTAAATTTATATTATTGAAAATGTAAACAGATACAAAAACAAATGTAATAACAAAAAAAAAATACTTTATTTTTCGTATATTAATGAATATGTTAATGAAATAATAAAAAAACACTTTAAGAAGATATTTACATATAAAACATCAAAATTAAATAATAAAAAAAAAACACTTGAAGAACATATGTAGATGTAAAAGATGAAAATGAAGTAATAAAAAAACGTTTAAAGAACATATTTACGTAGAAAAGAAAAAATATCAACACTATAAACAACATAACTAAAAAAGAATGAAAAATAAACACAAACGGGCCAAAAGTAAAGAATTTAATTAGTGAATGTAATAAGGGAATAACTGAAAATTAAACCATGCAATAACTCAAAGGTTTGGCGGGATAAGAAGAGGGAGGTTATGTGACATGAAGTTAGATAAGAAGTGAGGTTTCGTGCAGGTCCGCTAGACAAAAAGTACCACATAATTTTCTAAAAACACATTTCTTATAAATTTAAAAAATTTAAAAATAATGATTTTTAAAATATTTTTCACTTCCCCCATACCAGACTGAAACGACTAGAAACCGCCCGACATTTTCGACTACTGCAGCACTTACTAGACAAACGATCTAAGCTTTCAATCAATTATAAACGACTCGTATATATGACAATAATAAGACCTATTTGGACTTACGGAATTGAGCTTTGAGGCTCCACTAAACCATCATATTCCTCTCGTATCCAATCCTTACAATCCAAAATCCTTCATGAAATCCTCAACGCTCCTTACTTTTTCACAAATAAAATCATCCATAAAGACCTTAATGTTCCATATGTTTCCGATCTGGCCCAATCCAGATACCTTTCCTTCCATAACAAACTGCAGAACCATCCGAATCCTCTCGTTTCAAATCTTGCTTCCTCCTCGATCCCTGATAACCCTCCGAGGCGTCTGAAAAGAAGATGGCCTCGGGATCTTCTAATATAGAACTTTAATTTGAGTTCTACCAATGGGTAGTTTCTCTTCATGTTGTACATGCCATGTTACCAATTTCTCATTTACTTATTGTATTCTCTATGTAATACAGTTGTAAATTCCATTAAAATAATAAAAAAAAAAGAATTTCACATGGTTATGAAATTGTATTTTTCCTGCAGTTCTTCATCATAGGAATTGATGTGCATTTATAAGTGACAAACTTAATATTTCTAGCACAAATATTTAAGTTTTCATGAAAATAATTGAAGCAATCAGGTTTATTTATTTTAAGTATAAATTTTAGTCAGTTTTTCTAAAAGTGGAATAAATGTAGTACTGTTGAAGGGTGATAAAAAAAAAAAAAATAAAAAAAAAATAATTATTATTTGTTATATAAATTAGGCCATTATTCACCAACATTTTATTTATTAGCTATTTTATTACGATGTTTCGACCATCACTAGGGCCATTTTCAAGTCTTATTGAGTCCTCCATTAGATATTCATTATTAATGTTGTATTAATTTGTTCAGAGAAAAATTAAATTGTTCTGCTATTTAAGAGTTTCCCCTATGACATTTCTGGAGGGACTGAAATAAAATAGCTAATAAATAAAATGTTAGTGAATAATGGTTTAATTTATATAACAAATAAAACCTCAAGACACCAATTTTAGGAATAATGAACAGAAGAGACAGATTATTATTGATGTTTTTTAAATGGAACTTAGCTGTATTTGTCCGCCTAATATTTCTTTTTAAGTTATCGCTTCCCATTTAAACAAAAAACCTTGACTCCTTTAAAAAAAACAAAAATCTTTTCTGCTGAAAATTGGGCAATTGTCAATATGAATTATTTTGTTGATCTTGATGTCCACTATCAACCTTTTAAATATTTTTCAACTTACGGGACACCCTGTATAGTACATTTATATAACTAATTTACCGGCTTTAGGTTCTTACTCATATATAGATATGATTACTCATTATGAGTGATTACACACTCATGATGCTATCTATATAAATTGAGTAATTGATTAAAAAGAAAACCTGGCGATTGAGCATGATCTCACTTTTAATCACCTGCCTGCACAACTATTGGCCTTTAAACAGTACTTAGTAAATACCTTGATAAACAGTAAATTGTACTGAACCCATCATTGAGTGTTTTTTTTTTTTTTTACTTTATCATAGTCATTATAAAATATATAGCTTTATTAATTGTGTGCGTTTAATTGACTTTATTGTTTATATAAATATGTATGTGTATTTCCAGAGTACCATGGATGAAGTGCCGAGATCGAACGACCAAAAATCATCATTGTTACAAAAACTTTTGTCAGAGTAATCTATAACACCTCACAAATTAAGTGCATTATTATATTTAATTTCATTAGGAAATTTTATGAAAACAAAAGTAAATATGTATATAAATTATTATAAATAATAGTTATAAATATAATTTTTAAAATTACTTTATAAATATAAATATATATATAAAGAGGTTTAGAGTAAATATATATATTAATATATATATTTTTGAATGCGGGTTACCAAGCCACTAATATTATTGGGCTCAATGTTTGAATTTTAATTTTATTTTTTCTAATATTTTTTTTGTTTCTGTTTCGTTTATCCAAATCTTTCTTGCTGTTTATATATATATATATATATAGGTGTTAAATGATATATACAAGAGTATATAGCCTCCATTGCTTTGTTATCATTCGATGTATTTCTCTCTTTGGCTTTTACAAAAAAAAAAAAAGGATTTTAGGAGGCATTGTTTGCTAAATTTCATTAAATGAAAAGGGCTTTCACTTTTTGTTAGTCTAGCTGAAATCTCACTTTTACGGATTTTTATTATTTTTTTTTTTGACAAAGCAAACAAATCCTCCTTTGCCTATTTTTATGCCATTTTACATATAAGTAATGATATATATATATATATGGTTAAAATGTTTGATAAAATTTTTGGATGTAATTTTTTGGAAACAAATTTTGTACAGATATATATTAGCACCAATATTTGTCCTTGTATAGTTGATTGAATTTATCTTATTAGAATGTGGATATATAAGAAAATAATAAAAAATGTTAAGACAAAAATGACTGGTCAACAGGAACCTCAAAATGCTCAATAAGAAATGTAGATTTATTTATTACTGAACTCGTCCCGTATATCTTTTTCCTGTTTAAATCTCTTCTCTCCTTATTACGCTATTTAAAATAGCTATAGCACTTCGTTGCACAATGCTCTTACTAGAGGGAAAACAGAAAAAATGCTTAAAATATGATAGAGTTGATTTTTAATGAGCATTTGCCTACAATGTTCCTAACCATCCCTTAATGTTTCAAAAAGCTTATAGATTACTCGATATTTTAAAGAATAAAAATTTAATGAGAAAAATATGTTTTGTGAGTTTTGACGAAAGATGTGCTAGAAATAATAATGGCAATGTGAATTTGTATAAAAAGAATAAAGGGAAAAAAATAAAGAAAAGTTATATGTATATCCAAATATACATATATGAATACATATGAAGAATTTAGTCCTTATTTTTATAAATATATTAAATTTTTTAAAATTATAACTGTTGAATATTATTTTTTTGTTTAGAAAATATAGTTTATAATTTTTTATAAATTTCTTTTTTAATTTACGACACTATTTTTGAAGAATGTTTTTGTCTATAATTTGAGAATGATATTTTTTTAATGTAAAAGTGCAATGTTTTAAGATGGGATCAGAGGTTTGTTATTTTTTGAATTGTTTAGTGCAAGAATACACTTACCCTCTGTGGAGCTTGTTAATCGGTGCCGAATATTATCAGGGGGTTCTTATTCTTTTAATGTAACTTTTTATTTTATTTCTAAATTGTTATCTGTGATTGTATTTAATAAATTAAAAAAAAAACAAAACACCATCATGTACACATTTATACTCAGTAACACCATATATGTTGATAGTTATTTAAATTTTATTTTTATTAAACTTATTCGAACCCCTTGACATCTTAATTTGGTGCTACGAAGCTTTCCGTTCTTTTCTGCTCTACGCATTTCTATGTCAACCACCCACCTTATAGGTGATTTATCTTTCTCTATCTCTCTCTCTTTCTGTCGTATCTATCTATAGTGATTTCTTCTTTGTGTGTGTATGTTTCTATATGATATATATTAACATACAAACAAACATTAAAAATTTCAAATTTTCTATTTCATGAAATAATACATGTATAAAACATATACATAAAATTATATATACTGTTAATTGTCTCGATTTGTATATACTTCCAATAAGCACTTTATTATGTGATATCTAAATATATATATATTTTGTACTATAACTGAATTTTACTATTGTTATAAATATTATTATTATAAAAAAAAAAGCGTGTTTATATTAATTAACTATCGATTAATAAGTTTAGGTGCAACTCTTCCTTTTTGTCTAGGCATATTTTTGAGATTTGGTTTTATAAGTGGAAAGAAAAAAAAAAAAAAGAAGCAAATGATTAATTTGTGATGATTGTTAAAGTACAAAAGGGTTTAAGAACTATTTAATATATTGTAAATTATTAAGCTCATTCTTATTATTTTCTTGCATTGGAAATAGCTTGTTTCAAGTTTTTATTTCGATCGTGTCGGCAGTGGCACATTTAATTCCTTTTTTACATTGTCAAAGATTAATTAGCCGTTCAGTTTGCCAGATTATAATAAAATAAAAATATATAAAAAAATATAAATAAAAAATAAAATAATAAAAACAGACCACATAGGTTTTATTTAAACCAAAGGAAATTTATAAATACTTTGTAATATATTTGTACAAATTGTTTATTATTTCTTTCTTTGACAGGTATCATACAAAATTGTAGTAATATTGCATTCTTAATTTGTTTCTTATAAGAAGTAGAAATTAAATTAATAAAAAAAATTATGAATGCCAGTTGGTTTTATATCTTTGACTAATGAAAGTACGATAAAACCCAACACGGACAGTTCATATCGAAATAGTACTTTTTTATAATTTTTCATCCCTTTCCCTCCTCGATGACATTGAAAATATTATTGTATGTTTGTCTATTTTACATTTTACTTTTATTTTTTTTTTTTTGTTTTTTAATATAGAAATTGTGTAATAGATTAAAATTAATTTATAAATTGAAAGTAAAAAAAACGTAGTTTTAGATTACATCAAAGTGTAGACAGGTAATATTTTTATATGCAATTCAATATAAAAGCCATAGAATATTTTTTCAAAAACCAGGCTGAATAAATTATATTATAAGAAAGGATGTAAAGAGTTGTTTTCAAAGAAATGGAACTTGTATATTGTTTGTGTATAATTAAGAGTTGTTATTTCCATTCGCCTCTGTCAATATTATGTAAAGAAAAAAATTGTTCGTTTTATGTAAAATGCGGCAATTAAAGGCCAATATACATATTTTGTTGTATTTTTATATAAACAACCTTCCTATAATGTTTTGTCTTGATAATTTTAAATTGATTTTTTTTTTAACTTATCTTTTTTTTTACCACGAACCAATAAAACAGTGATAGCAAAAGATTTGAATTTTTTTACAATAAAGTGTATCACACAAAAATGTACACATCTTTACCAAAAATTTTTTTTTTAAATTGAAAAATATTTAAGTCTCATAGAATGTTGACTTTAAACTTTTTAGTCTAAAATTTAGATATTCAATTTTTTTTTTTATATGAATATGAAGTAATTTTTTTCAAGCACAAAAAACATAAAGTTTAAAATTCAAAAGACCCAAAAATTTAAATTTCTATAATTTAATATTAAGAACTGGACTTCAATAAAAACATATAATATTTTTTTTACCAAAAATGAAAAAAAATATATATATATTTTTTTCCTATTGTTTCAAATCTTAGCATGCTACATTTTACATTATTAAACTTATAGTAGAAACTATGCAAATAAAATTATTACATATTAATCAAAATTATTCTTCTTTTTTCTTTTTTCTGGGAAGTTGTATGTTATTCTTTGTTTTTGGCAATGATGACTTCCAATTAAACAACAATTGAATTTATTTGTTGTATTTTCAAAATACATGTTAACGTTTCGGGATATTTACTCCCATCTTCAGAATTACAATCCCAATGTTTTTTTGTTGATTCATAGCTTAAATCTAATGTGACCCATTGTCATGTTCTAAATTCATGTTATAATAAATCAAAGTATGTAATATCCAGAGCGCCATCATGCTTTTAGACCAATTATTAGGTGTCTCTCCATTCCAATTCCAAAAAAATATTCAAAATAATTCTTAATGATCTAGAGATGGTTGACGGGTGGGAGAGGAGGGGGGTTGCGTATTAATCAAAATAATTCTTGATTTCTCAATCTATTTATCCTGATGTTAAGGCAAGTTGCCAGTGACAGTAATCAAGAAATAGACTTAAAAAATGCATTAAAATTTCAATTGTCATGAATCTAAAAGGGTTAGCACTGGTAAACAAAACCAAAACTATTTACATAGTTATTATAAATTTAATGATGTAAAATGTAACTTTGGAAAATCAAATAACTTAAAAAAACTTTTTTTTTTTTTAATCTTTTATTATGATATTTACAACTGTATTAGTATAAATACATCAAGTAAATTTGTACAGAGAAATATTATTACATGAAACACGCTTGTTAAGAAACTACCCACTGGTAGCACTCTATAAAAAAAAACAACTAAACAATTAGGGTGAACGCACCAGTTATGGACAAGTTAGATTTTAAACGTAAATAATAAGCTTCCTTGTGGATTTAAAGGTTCCATTTTTTTTTTTCTAGATTGAAGAACAATGCTCTCTATTGACAACTGTATGAGCAAAGTTTCAAAAAGAAAATTTTTAAATTTCTATCATCGTTTTTTCTATAGTGCTCTTGAGATCAGTGTGTTTCATACCTTTCTAATAATAGTTTTGCTTAGAGTAAGTTGAACATTTAGGTTATCTTATCTTTGTAGTTAAATATTAGAATTTTTCTAATGTATGTCTATTACTGGTATCAACTACCTATCCATTGCTAGAACAATTGAATTTCAGGCTGTGTAAAAAGGTGTTTTTTTTTTTTTAATGGAGATTAAACCTGCATAACTGAATATTTTTTTTATTTTAAAGTGCTAAATATAAAAATGATAATCTAGAGATTCTAAATGTCCAAAGGAGAAGCTTATAACTATAATAATTACGACGGCATAAGCCAAAAAAGGCAAACATTTCCTTAGCTATGTCCATCACAGGTGCGCTTAACCTAATTTAAAATTTTAGTTCTAAATTTAAATTTTAATTGAACTCAAAGATGCTTTATAGGTG